CGCATTAACGCAAATGACGCTGACCGCAAGTGTATAAATCAAATATGCCTGTGCGCCAAGCTCACTTGGGTCGTAGTTATTTGCACGCAATCTTTCCCCACTTATTAGGCATCCTCTTGAACTAGCTGTGAGAGGGCTGATATGGGGATGTCCGTTTGACCATTTCAAATCTTTTCATGACAGCTTTCAATTTATGCAGAAGGGGGATTACAAAGCTGTATATGCAGCACTTATTTAGCGTCTTGATTAAGCCACAAAACGGACATGTGATTTCAGTGTTAGGCAATGAATTTTTACTTTTCAAGATTAAATTTAAATTGATGCTTTCTTGCCATGTGGACTGATGAGGAGGATAAATCACATCAACCAATTTGAAGTTATCAATGTCAATTTCACGCGTTTTCACATAAACAGGTTTCGTCTGGGAGAGTAATTAAAACATTCTCTAAATATCCAGATTATAACTCGTTCAAAGTAAATCACTGTCCACTCAGTACATCACGTTTGTAGCGGTAGCAGCAGGTGTGTTCGTGTGGCAATTAAATGTCATACCTGGAAATAAAATTCCGCCGTGTTCGGACACAAGAACCTTTATTTTGTTAAAATGCAGCCTTCACAGTCGCGATCCATTTTGAATGTCAATTTAAGGTATGCTTGTTTGCAGAATAAGCTGAGTTTAACACTCCATCACAGCATATTTTAATGACATTGTTGTTTCACTATTGGTGTTGGTCCATTCGAAGTCATTTGTTAACGAATTTATAGGTTTTGTGAAAGAATTCAGTTACTGCAATTAATTGTCAGTACATCGGCGATTGCTTCGTGTCCATATAAGTTCTGTTTTTTAACGAAGTACGTAGTAGTTGTCTTAGCGAGTAAAAAGTCACGTGTTATTTGAATTGAGGCTTTGCCTAGAGTGGTTGAATTGAACCTGTAGCCCCTCTCTCGTGACAGGCATTTGTGGGTAAGTCACATTGGCTGCTCTCACATTGTCGATGTTAATTTCACGTGTCCCACTGGAAGCATTTCACAGACATCCTTGCTCTTGCCAGTTTCTGTCCACTCATCACTGTGAATTGCTATCAGCACTAGCGAAGCGTTTGCATGTGTTAAATAATTGCCATGCAAGCACGTAAAATTCCCTTGTAGGCACACAAGAAAACATGTTCTGCTGAAAAGAAATCCTGACAGGTACGCTTCGTTGTAGCATGTTTTAGTCGCAGGTGGACTTACGAGCGTCGCTTTAACATAGTTCAGTGACTGTTTGCAGCCTCATTCATTCTCAAATTCACAACCCCTATAAACTTGGCTTTTAAACATCAGCGAACAGGTAAATGGAAGAATATGTCACTTCGTTGGCTATAGCATTAGTTGGTTTCGTCAAAAATCAATATCGCTCCATTTGGTCGTCAGCACATTTGTGTTTGTCATAGTTTCTCGAGAGGTTAAAGCACCACCCGCTGTCCAATCACGAGCAGCCGTGGTGTGTAACGACGTCAAAGCCTGAACACACTGAGAGCACACAGTGAGGTGTTGTCGTCACTCGACGCACCAACCCTCGGCCACACGCGACGTGCCTTTGCGCAGTCACCTGGTCGCACAGCGGACGACGCGGCGACGTCGATTGGATGACGGCGTGGCGTGGATTGCATCGACAGCTTTAACCTTCACCGAGCGTTTTTGCCTGTGGAGACACACGTGACTTCTTTTCGAGTTCAGTTATGTTTCAGTTGGCCTTGTTTACCAGCGTTATTGCAGTCAGTCTAGCGTCAACCTGACCCAGTAGTTCGTTGATTGTGTAGCAGAAAATGTTGGTTGTTGTTCTGTACTGTCTGAACATTGATGTAATGCACGCATTTGCTTTAAGTCGCATTATAGCATGCCATCGAGTTACCGTAGTTCAACTCTTTTTGACACGTCAACTTAATCCAAATAATTAAGTAAGTCCAGGATTCACCACATTGTGCAAAATTTGGCTGCCAGTCGTGTGGATAAAGCATGATCCAGTCTTGCTATTGTCAGCTGGAACTTCATGTTGCAAGTTCCCTATGTGTGGCCTGGTTAACATCTCAAAGCATACGTGTAAATTTGCAATGTGTATGTATTGTCGTGTTTGACAAACTGTGCTGTTATTTGAATTAGCATGCGCACATACACTGGCAAAAACCCTACCTTGTGCTTTTATATTGGGAAAAAAAAGGAAAATGAAGCTGTTAGCGGTAGGAAGAAGTATTTCTTAACAGTGCTGTGACGGTTTCTATGACTTGTGCTAAAAATATGTTGAGAACAGGCAGATTTGCAGTGTGGGCACAGGGTCTATTTTGACCATGACATCTGATGAGACAGTAATTAAATTGGAATCATAGATCTGTAGTGAATCGTGTTGATTCACGTCCAATAACCCTGTCCTCGCAGCTTTCAGCACACCTCCCCCCTTGTCACGTGAGACCGCTGGTTCATCACCCCGCTGAATGTACCATCACCACCACCACTTCCCGCATTGGTCATGTGTCCTCACAAACGCCTGTTCATATTTACATGTCCACTCAACTGTAAAACGACACAACGTGGTTGAGCGATCTAGTAAACGGTCGTGCCTACCATCTCTGGACTTATTGTCTTTCTGGGTTAGCCTCGCGGTAAAAGGTCCTCAACAGATCCTTGCATCTGGGATACTGGCAGGATGGAGATTTTATCGTAAGTGGCATTGTTTCCACGTACGTGCTCGCCCACATTCATGAATACTGGAGAGTTGGTAGTGCCTGTCTCAGACTAATATTCACTGATCACAAGCTGGCATTTTTAAGATTTCACAAAAAATCCAAATGTTGCATTTAAAGTAGAAAATTGACTAAAACGGTGAAACGAGGCTACAAGCACTTAAAGTTGTTATTCTAAAAGGCATTTGTTAAAAAGTTAATGGAGTCTTTAAGGTATAAGCAAAAACATTTGCATTTCAGCTTGCTTGACAGCAAGTCTCGCAGTGACATTGCTTCAAGCTCTTTTCTTGTGTACTCTTGTCCAAAGAGACCAGATAACTGAGCATTCAGCAGCTCAATTTACATGGTATTACCATTTCACGATTGCTTATTCCCTCCTCGAGTTAGTTTCATTGATGACGATGTCCCTCAATGCCGTATCGAAACAGGATTCGAAGCTGTAGCGCTAAGATGTCGTGGAATTTACGCACATTCATTAATCCAAAAAGAACGAAAGGCACTTACTGGTAAGAGTCTGCAACATTAAATGCGCAGTCGACTACGTCGGACCACCTCAATGAGAACTCAGATTTACGCTAAAACACATTATTTATGCGGGTAATAACGAGCGATGAAATAAATTTGGTGTAATCTTGGGCAATTACACTAAGAATCTCGCTATCGAAAGAATAAATACAAAAATCTGCAATGTAGAATTACGAAACATTTTGTAGTTTTCAGTGGGAATTTATTGTTACAAGCTCATTTGACCCCAACCTCACTTTTGAGATCCTCAAACTTGGATGGGACACAATGACTTCTATGTCCAAGATTAGAATTTCAGTGAATCCGACGTTGGTGAGACATCCACGATCTGGTTTGTAACAATTTTAGCTATAGCGGTGTTTCAGGGTGTGTGAGTTTTGCCATCACATTGCACACTCATTACTTCCTTAATCACTCTTGGGAACATCAGAAATACTGTGTACACAAGTAGGTTTACACCGGTGATTGCACGTCCAGCGAATGCTACGTTGGAACGACATCGACGATCTTGTTGTGCAGCACAATGCTACTTGCGTGTACAGCCGGTTTACGTGTCTATGTCACCCTGACAAAACGGCTCGTGGCTAGAGAGTGTGCGGTTTCCAAAATGAAAATAAGTGAGACATGATGGGCGTTGGATGATGCTACTCGATCAGCCACTTGGCCTCAGCGTATGTTGCAGTCGTTCTCGAAATTCCCGTTGCTAGTAGTTCACAGAGAACACTGCTGCGTGTGTTGTCGTGCAGGCAAAGCTATCGACTTGCTGGTTGCAAAAGTGGACATGGCTAGCTGCAGAATCGCACGACGCACATGGCTGCTGGCGGGCACCTCAGAGCGAGTCGTGTCACTTGTAGGATGCTCTCGATCATCGCGTTCTGGGCATGTCGTGGTCTTCGGCACACGAGGACTTAGTTCTCTCAGTGCATTTGATAGCTTCGGTGTAAGTCAAGGCTTGACAGACGGCGTTGAATGCAAAAGTAGCAACTAACTGGGTAGACTAGCAGAACATCATTGCGAAGATATTGCAGAACTACCACAGTCCGCTTGCCATGTTGCGCTTCGCGTAACAACATTTGTGATATGTCTTCTTGGACAAGGAACATGGGCGACGTAGAGAACGGTGCGCCCATTCGATTTTGTGATTATCGGTTGTGGCATCTCGATGCCAGAGAAATGGTTGACTTGCGTGTGAGAACAGTGCACGAATGCAGGAGAAAGTCGACAACCACAAATGTCGTCAATTAATGCTACAAAAGCACATCGATCAGGGATGGTCGAAGTCATTCCAGTCATTTTTTACTGAGTTTTTTTTCTAGTACATGGGTCTTGGCATAACAAATGAGCTCAAACGAAGATAGTTACGTGGCTAAACGTGACATTGACATTCCCGTCTTGATTGCGTCCACGTTGAGCATATGTCGTTATGCTTATTGCTGACTTAAGCTAACAATGCCAGTTGTACGCGTTTACAGTCTTTCGCCATGTGATGTCTAGTTAGGCAGAGAGTTGGTGGCGTGTTAGTGGTGCTCCAGTTAAACTGCCGATGTCTGATCTAGAGATTATCCGCCCACGCTGCTGACGTGTGCCTGGTTGTGCGACAGACAATGGCGTTATCGTAATTGCACACTGGGGCGACACTGAAGTTCCTCTTTTGTGGCTCGCCATCTTGGCCGTTTTCATTGGTTCCAAACAGCGGGTTGACCAAACGCCCAATCGATTGCAACTGGTGATTGTCCAGATAGCACCAGTTGGCAGTGCTGCCTGCAGCCGCTGTAGATGGAGTGTTTGCACTGACCAGCAAACGAAATTGCCAGAAGCGCATTAAAAGGAACATTTCCAGTTGGCGTTATTGTCGTGTGTGCAAGATGGTGGGAACCACGCACGAGGGCTAAGAAAAGTGTGGGATGATAATTTGCTTGCAAACATGAAATAGCGCGTGTAACGCGCACCTGATCCACGGCGTGTGTATTAACACCAGCATGTTGGAAGGACAGTAGTTGACTCCGTGTTGTGTCACCTTGGTACTGATGTAGACGCAATGTCAGATGCCGAACCTTGCATGCCCATCGTGTGTCTGCGTGTGCGTGTGCATTGAACTGCCGCAGTACTTGTTCTTTGTGGTTTGCCTTCATTTATTGCCAATAACGCAGTTATTTGAGCCATTCAGCGTGACATAACGTGGCTAGAAGGCTCGTGGTTGATGGCAGGTGTCTGAAGATCGAAAAGGCAATAAGAACAAACTCGTGGCATGTGCTTAGGCGGTGCACGCAGTAGTGACGTCATTGCAGATGTCCAGACAGGGAAGGGCGGTCAGTGCATCGTGTGTGTAGTTGGTGACGGTTGTGGCAGTCGCTGACAGATCGTTCATTGCGTGCCGTGTGGAGGATTGTGAGTTCCGGTACATTTCAATGCACTTTTGACTAGTCTGTAATTACTAGGGCAGTGTCTCGCCGAAGCACTTTTGTATCGTAAATCACGTGGACTCAGCAAAGTCGCTGTCAAGCGATTCTCGTGTTCACGTGGTGATACAATATCTACGGGTTTTGATCAAGCTTACGTGAGTGAATTCATAAGCCTATTTGGTGCGACGTCACTAACATCAATGCGGCAAGGTTCGTCACTTTGCTGGACCAGTTCATTTCAACTAGAGCTAAATTGTGTTGCTGTAAAGTATTCAAATCACGTGCTAATCACACTAAGCGTCAAGTCAGTTTCGTGAAACCACTAAACGTCACTTTTTCTAATAGCTAACCATATCACTAGTGTAAAGAATTAGGCTGAATCATTTATCGTAAGCAAAGTTTGACCTTGATTTCTCTAACAAGACTAACATCTTCTTGAGCAATTTAATTTTATCAAGTGTGAATATGTGGCCTATAGATGAGTGACTGAATGGTTTAATGAGAATGTTTGTCCTTGGATATCGGAATGGAGCATCACCTTGATAGGAAGATAGATAGATAGGTAGATAGATGCAGACTTGCAGCATCCCTCACACGAAACCACTACATTGCGTTGGATTGTGCCCTTGCTTTCATCCTGAGATGTGGCTGATGGTGGGGTTATGGTAAGCCCCCGTTTTCAGGTTGACTGACGCCGACAAACGTCGTCTCAGCATTTCGTTAGGTGGTTCTTGGACACAGTCTCGTCTTTTGAAAGAAGCACATAGTCATGGAAATGCCGCACGTCTCCACCAATCAGCATTTAAATTCGTGGACATGGAAGTCTGTTGTCACCGATCGGAACAAAGTCCTCTCACACTCACAGTGATACAACACCTCAAAGACAATTCAGCGGCAATTTAATTCATACGGCATAGTCAGTCGACAAACAATGGTGTTTTCGAAATAGCAAGCAAACTCGTTGGAATGAAAGAACATCGAAGACAGCCGGAACGCCACACTTCGTGTACGTGTTATCTTCAACAATGCACATCATGACATTAAGCACACTAAACACTAAATGTCGACAAGAAATGCGAAGGCCTGCCACACACGCTTGAGCCAAAAGTGTTCCAACAAAACCAGCGTGGTAAAATGAAGATTATTGTGGAAATAACATGACAAGTGTTGGCCGGTCTCTTTTTCTACTGCCCTCGCAGTGCGATGTGCACACACTGGATAGCAAAGAAGTCGTCACTGCAGTTAAGTGAAAACTGGCCAGTTGGAGGGTGGGGGTGGTGGATGGAGCGGACGAAGCGAAGGAGCCAGTGGACCGTGCGACTGACACGCAGTGCAGAGTGCAGCTGAGCTCACACGACGTGGCCAGACGGTGGGCTGTTGTGCGTGGTCTAAGCCAAGTGCTTCCGCTTCATCGCATTAAAAGACGACTGCCTTAGTGCACGAAAATGAGCTAAAAGCATTGCCAATTTAACTGCCAACCTCCATTGCAAATCCAATTTGACTGGGTGCGTTTTAATTTTATGCCGCATGCAATTCCAGCCAGTCTGTGCAGGCGACGTGCATTATCGTGGGTGTTTCAAAGTAAACAGCACGAGGCGGTTGAAGGCGACTAGCGTTGACGTGTCGGTCCTTTTTGACTTTGTTGCCACAGTGGCAACTTGGGGTGTCATTGAACAGTTGTAGTTGACACGAGGAAGGACTTTACAAGTAGAATTTCTGACGAATGTGTGGTTGAGTCTTCCAAGGTAATAGTGACGCTGTCAGCATTCTCGTAGTCAGTTAGGGAGAACCCCGACGGATGTAATTGTAGGCGGCTCCCAGCATTGCCACGCGTGCTGTCCAGCCTTTTTACCTGATACGTCATCAAACCAGTTTGCACATGACAGAAGCTAAAATTCTACGTTGCAACCACCACACGAAGCTTTGATGTTGTAATGACCAGTGCGACAATAGTGCGTTCTGGGGCAGCTCTGTTAAATATCCATATGCCACTTGGGATCGTGTTCTAAGCACTAATGCAGACAAATGGCACTAACAGCTGCTGCGATAATTCTGGTCCACTTGACTTTCAGGCTGCATTCTTCGGAAGTTTAACTAGTTGTGATGTTTTACATCTCCTGTTGCATGTGGCTGTGTCTTTGCGCTTTGACGAGGTGATAATCGCGACTGGAATGACCTGAGCATTTTTGAATGCTACGTCGTTTTGAGCGGCAACAGCCAGAGGCGGTGGCAGCAGTAGCAGCAGCAAAACAAACGTATGGGGGTTAGTTTATTTTATATAGTTGAGGTGGGTTATCACGTAAGGCGACACCAGGACGCCAACTAACTGCACAGGACACTTTATGACACGTTTGGCTAAAAGTTAGATTGCTGTGTGCAACGAATGTAGGTCAGTGAAGACGTGTGTCGTCAGACTCACAAAGGTGATTTAACAGTAGCCTTTACATATAGCGTCACCCACTTTAAAAATATAACGTAGAAATGTTGCCATACGAGCAGTTTTTGGATCACATAAATTAGAATCTTGCATTTTGTTACATTGCGTTGTCCATTTCCGATGCCGATACCTGCAAAAGTTGATATTTACAAATTTACGCACATGGAAATTTCACAAACAGGCGTGGTATTTTTGGGTGTTACAGAGGAGTTTGTTCGTGGCTGACACATTTCAAGCTATGATAATTGAGCTTACCGCTTCTGTGCTGAGGTTGCAGTTTAGTTTATCTTTGTTTTACCGTCAGTTTATTTTGCCGGTTCCATTTATGACTTATTTATCTGATGCTTAATTAATTCTGCACAAAGTTTGTCTGGTGCGGATTGTTAATTTGAAAGTAATATGTCTAACTTAAGATATAATATTCCATCCATTGTTAGTAGCAAATAAACTTTGAACCGCCTGGTAGCGGTCGACCATGTTGTAATTAATTACATTTCAACAGGCTGGACTTAGCGACTTTGCAAGCTTAGAAATGTCTCTGAGAGTTTTTTTAGGATCCACTTTTACCCTCGTCCTCTATAGCTACTCCTTTATTAATCTCCTAAACTCAAGGAAGAAATTACTTAACCTGTCTTAAAGTGGAGAAAAGAGTATTTAGACAATTAAAAATCGTTTATTTTAAAATAGTCTTCATTATCATAAAATGTAATTCGTTTATTGACATTACTGCTTTATTTTGATAAGAAAAATCTGCATAATGAGTGTTCTAAATAACATCTTGTTTGCTTTTTAAAATGACCGCAGAGCAGCTTAACTAAATATAAAAAAGCTTTAATGATGAATCGAGTGACGCAAATGTGTAGGTCGTTTAGTCATGTGCTTCTACAAAGCATAAATTAGCCGCGTTTCACCACTACTTAGTAATAATGATTAACAATAATAGTGATATTCATAGGAATCAGGCTAATCCGAATCCAGATTAGACACATCCTTTTACAAAAACAATTTTACTTCATGAAATTTTTGGTGTGATGTAAACGACATGCATTGACGGAACACTTTTTAATTAGAAAAGCCAAGAAAGTAACACCTCAAAGACTGCGTGCGTGAATTGCCTAAATTAATTTCATTAAAACGTGCCAAGTATTTTGCAGCGTACTGTAGCGCCTAAGTGACCATTTACTGTAGAGAGTGTGGACTACTTTTGTCACCAACAGGCGTGGGGTGGGACACCGGGGCAAGCGCTAACCCATTTTAGCGAAATATCGCGGAATCGCCTAATCTAACTGCCTTTTTAAATTTGAAAAATTTGAATTTGAAACCGTGCTCCACATAAGTCATGCGTTAAGATGATTGAATGACACTAATGTCAAGAGCTTTAAATTTCCATTCTTGGCATTGTTTCCTTAGAACCGAAAGTGATTTGACGATTGTTTCAAAATTAAGGTCACTTCTTTTCGTGAATCCCCTCTAAACCACCAATGCCGTAATCAGAACTATTTTTAGATGATTCCGGCTGACTTGACAAAAGGCGTGAGCGTGTTAGACAAATGTTAAAAATACTTTTAAGAACACGTCGTTAAGATTTATTAACGAGAACTATTGCAGGCAAAAATTTCTGAGACTATGAACAAACACAAACATGAGTATAAGTGAATTATTTTAAGCTATATGTATGAGAATCTAAGATGTAATTTGACGATTATACGTAAGGAGAAGCAATCTTACAAACATCGTTAAAGAATGAGGCACATCGGGAGATTGTCCCACCAAAGTGAACATCGACGCAACATTTGTAGATTGCGCGGCAAAGCCTTTTTGAATTGTCATTCTAAATGCAAGGCGTGACTGCAAAAAGGCGTTGCAACAGCCACCTAACCGTCCGTTTGTTTAGTCTGGTGAACGCCGGACAGAACACATCGTTGCCTGCAGTGCGTGCGTACCTGATGCAGAAGACTGGCTTAAAGCAAGATGGTCTCACAC